GAGAGTATGTATATAGTAGAGGTATGCATTGAGTCTGATGAGAGGTTATGTGTTGTAATTTTTATCTACGATCAGTGAGGTAATGTTGTTGTTTTCTTGACTTTTGTTTCTCTCAAGGCCTTGGGTCACTGTGTCCAGCGGGGATGTCCACCAGTCCTAGTGTGACTTCGCCAGGTTGACTTGCACAGTATGCCTCACAAACATGAGTCTACAACATAACAAATTACACCTCACAGTCCCTTCGCGGGCACCACATTGTCCTTACGCGGGCACCACGCGGTGCCTTGAGGAGCACCAAATGGTCCCTCTGCGGACACCACAATTTCCTCTGATGGGCACCCTATGGTTCCGCAATGGGCACCACACAGTGAACAACCACACACTTTTCTCCAAATATCTAGCTGTTATTTAACTTTTATATTGGTGTTGACCTCTAATGGCATGTATGGGTAAGGAAGCCTGAAATTGGAGTATTTTGTCTCTAGGATTTAAAGGGGAATAATATGTAACTGTTTCTGTCAGTAAACATCTATAACATTGACTTGCAACAATATCATATTTCTGACCAAAACTAACGAATTTCTTAGTTAAGACTCAAAGATGAATTTTGTAAAGAGCACACAAAAGGTGTGTCATCTATTTCATATTGTATTATATATTTATTCTTTAAAATTGTGGTAAGTTGGTTCAATAGATACCTGTACATGTATATAGCAGTACACCATTTTATATACATCTTAAGCATCTTGATGTCATTGATGTCTATCAAAGATTTCAGCCACAACTTTCACTAGACATGGTCAAATATGCCAACTGCACTTTCTGCTCTCTAAGGGTTAGGTCCCTACGGGTACTCCGATAAAGATAACATAAAAAGGCTGGTACAATGGGTCAGATGCAAGGTTTATTAACATAGTGGCCATAGGAATAGTGAAGAGTAAGAGAACAGTCACAAGGGAAAGATAAGTCATTTTATTGTTCCTGAGAGGCGTTTTAGTTTGTCTTGAAGTGAAGATAAATGTCTATCCCCGAGTGCCTAGTCTGTAACTGTTTTATTATATCGTGAACCAAACCTGTAGATTACCCTATTGATTGTGATTATCTCCCCTATATGGTTGGAAAACCAGAAACTTGCTAGAATCTCGTGAAATCCCAGGATTTAGGTTGACTGGCATGTGATCTCACAGTTATGTTTTGATTGGTTCATTTTGACAAAGAAATTATCCTGCAACTGTATCACAGTAACATGAGCTATTTCCCTGTCCATTTTGGACACTTATTGTGGTATTTTATAAGGAAACGTATGGTGGTAGATGTACACTACACCTACGCCAGTCATACTATGTGTCTGGCTCCTGTGAATGATGAAGAGTTTTCAGAAAGGTCATAAAACTTTAAATACTTCAGACATATCTAGAACAATATACTAGCCTAAAGCTAAGAATGTAAATATACTAGCCTAAAACTAAGAATGTAATTGTACTAGCCTAAAACTAAAAATGTAAATATACTAGCCTGAAACTAAAGTGTAAATATACTAGCCTGAAACTATTGTGCAGTTTATTTGAGTTATAAATGTAATGAATTGTAATTGAAAATTTTACAACACTTCCTTATCCATATTTGGTCATTGAGGTAATTACATGTACAATACCATCCATAATTGGTTATTGAGGTAATTATAATACCATTCATATTTGGTTATGGGTAATATTGGCATCATAATTTGGAGAATCTTTTTTAAACCATGTCTAAAGTAAAAACATTTTTGAACCTTATTCTAACAGTTATTTTGTAATCCTCGCAGTCAATCAGTTTACAACACTGATATTTGAAGAAAATGTGATATATTTTAACTGTTTTCAGTGCATTAATTTTTGTTTGATTTTTCAAAAACAGGAAAAATATTCATGTTCACAAGTTCTGTTATATTGTTTTATCTTCAGCATCTGAATCTTTTGAGTTATTTATTTAAGAGTACAATAAACATAGTTCTGAACTAATGGCTTGTTCTGTATTGTTTATAGAATCAAAATGATAAACCAATATTCAAATTATTGTCATTTCATTTAAGTAAGAAAAGAAAGATAATAGCTGATATAATTTGTCATGTTGCCCTTTCAATATTGAAGTAACTACAAATATATTTTTGAACTTGTGAACAATTTAAGTTGATTAAAGCTTGCAATAATATGAAAAAAATGTTAAATAAATTTGCAATTTTTTATATATATAGATCTGCAAAATGTTAATTATCTTATTGAAACGGAATTTTGTGATTTCATTTTCATATTTTCATGAATTTTAAGCATGTAAAATTATTGCAAGTGAAGATGAGGAGATGTAAGGAAACGTAGTGGTGTAAAACTAGCATTTCTATCCAGAATTCTTGATATTGATATTGATATTGATTGATATTGATATTGATATTCTCTAAAACTTCTTGGATGATGACAGCTATCATACATTGAATTATCTGGGTTCTTCCAAGCATTTATAAAATAATCATTAATTCATAAATAAGATTAAAATGAAACAATGCTTTGGATTTCAATTTATTTTTCATGAATATATTTTGCAAAAATACATCAAAATGATAAAGTACAGTACAGTAAAACATTAAGCCATGTTTTCCTGTCGTTTCCTCATCAGTGCCCTATTTCTCCTCACACAGCATTACTCTGAAATAACAGATGTGGTAATATGTCCCTTCCTCTCTTTTAGTTTGGAATGTTTGAAACCATGACCAGTGCTTTCGTAGACGAGTTTCCAGATCTACTGAAAAACAGAAAGGAGCTCTTCACGGCGTTCATGTGCTTCATTGAGTTCCTATTAGGAATCCCATGTGTGATGCAGGTCAGTATTGACATTTTTTTATACGCCCGTCGAAGACGGGGACGTATTATGTTATCACGTGAGCGGGCGGGCGGTCGGGCGGGCGGGCGG